GATTTGTAGATTGCACTTGGCATGTGTTATTGCTTTTGGGCGCTGACTGCCCTGCCAACACATTTCCAAGTAGCTTTGTGAAGCCATCCGTGTGTGATACATCGACCATAAACCCTAGCTGGCCTACTTACATGCAAACCCACCTATTTGGGGTTTATGGTGAACGTATTCTGCAGTTGGAGTTTATAAACCGCCCTCCCTATCTGGGTGAGCAATGAAACAACTCCTATCATTTCCCATTGTACTGATTGGTTACAGAAATAGGTATTCGGTAAGTTCACAATCGCTGCATCAAACCAGGTTGTATAACCCACGAGTTCATGACCAACCAAAACCAACATTTGGTGCCTTAATCCCAACATGTGTGTGTTAAATGCACATCTTTGGTGATTAAATGCAACATGTTGGCGGGTTAAATCCACATCTTTGATGGTGAATGCTCCATTTGTGTTGGCCAAACCCAGGTTTGGAGAGGTTTCCAACCAATACTTGATAGTGAAATCTTAAACTCTCACGTTTGGTAAGATATTGCATTTTTGGTTAGGTTAACAACCATTATTCGGTGGTGAAACCAGTTTCTGGTAAAATTGGTGAACTCACCCATATTTTTTTCATCAACCATCAACCAGCCATAATCTATCAATGATATCCCCATGTCATGTTTGTTGGTAAAGGGCGCCATTACCATTTTTTAGCAGGGAATTGACGAATTATAAATAAACATATGGGTAAAGGCTAAAATTGTGTATCCCAATAATTAGCTGGTGTATACTAAACATATACTATAAAAATCTGTGGTCCAATAGTGTATGGTTCTAAGAATCATAGTTATAACTAGGTATAATATGACTATCATCCATTATATTATAGTAGGGCTTAAAGTTTCACCCAAACCCATATCATGTCTTTGTGCCAAAACCTGTTATTGTAGACACCCTAAAATCACTGATTACTGGATATGTCTTCCCCTAAGTATGGCAATCATTGGTAATACTAGATTTTGCAATAGATAATCCATAATGGGTTCTGTTCATGGATGGTAAATAGATGGTATAACTAACTGATGCGTCATAGTGTTGATTTTGACCCATCCCCTGTTTGGTTCTAAACAATCATAATTATAACTCGGTATAGGATCTAAGTAGTTTAAGTAGGTATACAATGACTATCATCCATTATAGTTAGAGTAAACCTTAACTGTTGACCCATCCCCATATCATGTGAGGAGTGAACATATTGGGAAAAAAAGGTTCTAAGTGATTGTCCATCAGTATAAACATTTCATCTCCAACAGATACTTGTTTTAGTGATGGCAACAAAATCCCCAAAATGGGACATTTACCAAACCCTGGTACTTTACCATGATCTGGGTAAATTATAATATTTCACTAACCTGAATAGTTCGGCCATTTGGGGATGATTTCCCTTATTCACCATGATTCCAGGGTTCGGTCGCAGTGAGGTCGTTATAATTTATCCAGCATGTATAATATGATTGATTGTTGATTATTGTTGGCTATATATTGATCCATTATACTACCATTGTCCCATACTATGCTTGGTTTACACTTACAGAGAAGGTACTGAACTCCCCAAATCATAGCCCAAATACTTCCTGCAATGTGGGCCCCCCTAGATTGCTAAGTTCTTCAATCATGCTTGATCATTAACTATATATATATATTTACAATAGACCCTGGTACTTTACCGTTGCCAATCTAGTAGATATTCCCATTAATACCAAAAGACTAAAGGGTTAAAGTATCCATGTAAGATTGACCTAGATTACCATGACGCAAACGCCAAGGCATCATCCCTCCTGCAGCAGCGCTTGAGCTCCACAGCTACGCAGCCGGGACATCTCCACGGGGCTACCCCTTGGCCGGGATGAGTCGATGATCACGGGGACGTAAACACGTTGGGTTTACACAACGTGGTTTCTGGGGAGATCATTGATATTTCTATGGTCTATAAAAAATATATATATTTACAATATTTATGTCTCTTTACTAGGATTATTTATAGTTTGAAATATTTGTTTATGGTTTTACGAGGAAATCATCAGCCATACTGTTGGTACAGCAATAGTAAATCATGCCCTATTTTACCATTTTGATGGGTGGGATTACAACCATTAAAAACCAAAAATTTGGGTGGATTATTGCAACGATATACTGGGGATGTCATCAATATCTATATTAATTAATATCTAATAGGATAATCATTGCAACGATAATAACTTTTTTCACTGAAACTTGAGTTGATAAATAATGGACTGACAAGAAAACGCTGGATCTATTGAAACCGTTCATGAACAGAAATCTCTGCTACAGCTTTGCCGCAACCAGTTGGATCCCTGTAATTTCATTGCGAAGTTCCTGGTCAATCCTCAATGGATGAACGAAAAGCAAAGTCCGAAAATCTGGATTCTTGGGTGAGTGAAGGCCTTCTAAAATGGCTCTGACATGAAGGGTTAGTGATGGTTAGTCAAGTCATCCACATTGTTTTTGGGTTTCAAAATTGACCCTCAAATCCCCGCGACTTCTTAAGTCTGAACCAAGTTTTTTTTCCTGCAGACACGCATTTTTTTGCAACCCATACATGAACCACAGGTACAGTGTGACAGTGTGACACCAGGCTCACCCCTTAAAACCAGCATTTAATAAAATCATTTTCAGCACAGTACTTGAAGGTACAGGTCGACTTAGATAAGTGGCTATGTTCGAACTTATGGGGTTTATAATGTGTTATAACGATGTTATAATAGTTTCTAACCATGGTTATAGGTGCAGGCCCAACTGGAGCCCCATGACATCGCACCCGGCTGCCCCGCTGCTGCCAAGCATCTGGCTCTTGTTGACCTCAGATTCCAATTTGACCAGCGGCTACCATTGCCATTGGTCACTGGCGCTAAACGCAGGGAATGTGGGGAATGAAGGGTCCGCCTGGCTAATTCAGCTTTTTGCCTAGTATAATTTGGTTTTTTGAGTTTGGTTTTGCTGATATGTTTTCAAAGGTTGGGTTGGGTTGAATTGGATTGAGCTGGGTTGGGTTGGATGAAGATGAATGGTATAGTATTCAAGAGAATCAACCACGGTGTTGTATGTTGGAAGCTCATTTGCATGTTGGGTTTCAATTTGTTGGGTCAGGCACAAGCAAACAATCCTACTTAAAGTTGCGGCAGTTAATATACCAGACCTAAGTTGCACAAACTATTACATTTAAACTGAACCTTGCAGGTTTCATGTCAGGAAGCAACGGGAGAAACTCCGGAAACCCTTGGCACTGTAAGAGTGCCAGCAGAGAGGGGTTGGTACTGTAAGAGTACCATGCTACCATATGTGAAATCAATAAACGTTTGCAAACTCCAATACGGCACTGAAAGAGTTGCCGTTGTTAACCAAGTATGGCACTGTAAGAGTTGTCAAAGTTTAACCAAGTAGTATGGCACTGTAAGAGTTGCCATTTTTAAAGCCAAGTATGGCACCGTAGCTGTTTTAAACCAAGTATGATCGCTGAAAGAGTTGCTGTTTTAATCCAAGTATGGCACTGTAAGAGATATTTAGAGTAAACCAAGTATGGCGCTGTAAGAGTTGCTATATAATAAAACCAGTATGGCACTGCAAAGGTCGCCATATAATAAACCAAGTATGGCACTGAAAGAGTCGCCATATGATAAACCACGTATGGCACTGAAAGAGTCGCCATATAATAAACCAAGTATGGCACTGAAAGAGTCCTAAAAAACCAAGTATGGCACTGAAAGAGTCGCCATATAATAAACCAAGTATGGCACTGAAAGAGTCCTAAAAAACCAAGTATGGCACTGAAAGAGTCGCCATATAATAAACCAAGTATGGCACTGAAAGCGTCCTAATAAACCAAGTATGGCACTGAAAGAGGCCCCATATGATAAACACAGTATGGCACTGAAAGAGTCCTAATAAACCAAATATGGCACTGAAAGAGTCGCCATATAATAAACCAAGTATGGCACTGAAAGAGTCATAATAAACCAAGTATGGCACTGAAAGAGTCATAATAAACCGAGTCGCCATATAATAAAACAAGTATGGCACTGAAAGAGTCGCCATATAATAAACCACGTATGGCACTGAAAGAGTGCCATGAAACTTCAAACCAAACAAACCTAACTAAGCGCCATGAATTGACACTGAAACAATGTCATGAATCAGTCCTTTAAAAATGCCGTTGAACTGGTCCTGAGCGCCATCAACTGGCGTTGAAAGAGTGCCTAGAAATTGAAATTAACATTTAAAAATGAACTGCCATGAAAGTGAAATTGCATTGGCCCTGAAAGAGTGAATGAAAGTGAAATCGAGTTGACACTGAAAGAGCGCCATGAAAGTGAAATTGAATTGGCCCTAAAAGAATACCATGAAACTGAAATCGAATTGGCGCTGAAAGAGCGCCACGAAAGTCAAATTGAATTGGCCCTGAAAGAATGCCATGAAACTGAAATTGCACCAGCACTGAAAAATAGGTTGAAAAGCAGAAATAGACAGTGAGTGAGCACAGTGACTGCTGTTTACAAGAAAGCCATCTGCAAGAAAGCGATATGGCGCCCCAGACTCCACCCGCCAGGAACTGCAAAGTTGATCACCTAGGGTCAATGAAATTTTGCAAAAAAAAACAGAAAAACCACAGCAGCAAGAGTAGCAACAAGAAGATAACACAGAAACAGCAACAGAAATAAATGACAACAGTGATACTTGGTACTTTTCCAGCACCCACATGACATGCTACTTGAATACTTGGTACTCTTACAGCACCTCCCTTTGACAACAAGTGCTGCTTATCGCACTGACAACTGGGAGGCAGGCGCTGGAAGAAAACACTTTTGGGCCTCGGAGCTGTCAACCAAACAAGTAAGGCAAGAATGAATTCAACACTACTGCAACTTCAAGCCAAAAGTGCGCTCACTCATTTTTCGGCAGCATTTCAAACCTTCATAGGTCTGCCAGCCCTTCTGAGATCTGTCAGCCCTGCCTGGCCTTCTTGCCGGCAGGCTGGTTCATGGTGTCCTCCAGGACCTGTTGATCAATTGTCTGATTTGGATCCAGGCCATTGAGAAGCATGATGGCTTTGGCTGCAACCACCTCCGCACGGCTCGCCACGAGCTTTGCCTCATACCACTCCTTCTGGACGGCCAGCTTGGCCTCATAGTGCTCCCGAAGTTGAGCTTCTCTTTGAAACGCTTCTCGCCTCACCTGGGTAGGAGTGTGCCGGTGGCCTCTGTTGGCAGCAGCTTTCTTCGAATCCTCATTCCACTCTTTCCAATCTTGAGGTTGCGCAGGGATGTAGGTACCTCCCTCATAACGAGATCCAGCTGACCCAGATGGCATCTCCTCCATCCATATCTCCGTGCTCGCCTTGGCCTCTTGCATCTTCATGGGCCCTTTCGGATTGCAAAACCTTTCCACCACTGAAGGCTGCTGCAGGTGCTGTGGCACAGTCTGCGCAACTGGTCCTGGCTGCATAGGGTGCACCATGGTAGGCTGCATAGGCTGCACCATAGTAGGCTGCACAGGCTGCACCATAGTAGGTCCTTGTTGCATAGGCTGCATTGGCTGCATGGTGGGCTGTATGGTTTGCATTGGAGGCTGTCCAGGCATACCAGGAGGGACCATAGGTCGGATCGTCATAGGTGTCACAGGTTGTTGCGGTGGCATCCACATCTGCTGTTGCCCAGAGCCCATCACTCTCATCATCATAGGTCTTGGGCTTGGCATTATTGGGCTTGGCATTATTGGGCTTGATGCAGAGCTTGCAGGACTCTTCATGTCAGCCATCGCCTTGGCTGAAGCCCTCATCATCTCCTGCATCTGCTCCTTCGAAGGTGGTGGGCCTGGTGGTGGGCCTGGTGGGCCTGGAGGGCCTGAAGGGGCTTGACCGCCTTTGGCTGCCGGAGCCTTTGGAGGTGTCACTGGCCTTGTCTGATGACGACCGTCGCTGAAGACAGTGCAAGGCGGCCCTGAAACCAGCAGATGAGGGGTATCTTGCCGGCTATTTGTCGGCTCTGCCTTCTCATGTGGCTTCTCTGGCATCATTTTTGCGCTGGATCCCAACTTCTCAGTCTGAGTCTGCTTCCGTTGCACTGGCATAGCTTTGTGCTCCACAGCCTTCGCCACCACTGGTTGAGGCAACTTTGCCTTTGACTTCTGCGGCAGGGTCTCCTGCTGCGTCCTCCTATCAGACATGGCTGCAGCGTCAATCAGCCAAGTTGAAATCTGTTGCAAGATTGCAAGCTGAAACTTTGAGCACAATTTAAGACAATGGAAAAATAAAACGAATTGCTTGCCAAACAAAACCCTGCAAAAGCGCAAAGCAAATCACAAGGCAGAAAACGCTACTAACTCCAAAACTAGGGCAAGGGCGGTGCATCGTTGGAAACGCCTCGCTCCAGCCTCAATGCCAGCATTCTTTAGGTTTGACTGTTTGGATTATTATGTGGTACTCTTCCAGCACCGTTGCGCAAGAACTTTGTGGTACTCTTCCAGCACCGTTACTATGTGGTACTCTTCCAGCACCGTTTGAATTTCAGTAAGAACTGGTACTCTCCCAGCACCTTGTGGTACTCTTCCAGCACCAAAACATAAAAACAACATAGAAGGTGTCATGCATTGAATCTGAGGCCCATGCTTTTGCATGCTAAGAGCACACCTGAAGCAAACAAAGTTTTAAAAAGGCTTGCTCAACATACTGTCACAAGCGCTCATGAATCTGAGGCCTGAGCGCTTCGACAAGCAGCTAGTACCTGCCACGAAAGGAAGTAACAATGCATAATGACCAATGACAACAGCTATGAAAAGCCCAAAGGTACTTTTCCAGCACCTGGTGCTCTTCCAGCACCTTTGGCTAAAAATATGGCTCAACCTTTTTCTGCTCAATGATCGCATTGCGCAAGTCACACAGACTGAAGGTCAGTCGGGTGGTCTGGCCCTAGATCTCAAGATTTGGATGCACAAAGTAAATTGAAGCAATTCAAATTTTCAAGATACTTGCAAGTTGCAAGCTTATGTTCAAAAACCAAAACTGAGAGAAATGCATCCGGCCCCGTCTTTGGAAGACATTCAAAATCGAAGCAGCAGCGGTTTCCAAATTTAGAATACAATGATGACAGCTGAAGCAAACTTTAATTGGGAGAGTTTTTGCCAAAACTTTGGAAATGAAACCTTCAATGTCAAGTGGATGGATGGAACCACCTTGGCTGCTTCTTGTGCTCAAACATTGGGCTTGGCAATCACAACAGCTGTCTTGCTCTTAATGACGAACTCCTTTGAAGTCATTACCATTGGGCGGATTGGTTGCAAACCCTTGGCAGCAACTGCGGGCCACTTGACGGCCCAAACAATCTCAGCAAGCTGGCTGTCACGCCATACCTTCTCAGGGATTGCACCAGCCAAATGGGCAGCTGGGATCATCAGCTTGGCTTCGCCCTCGCCTTCTTCTGTCTTCACTGCAGGGAAGTCAGCCACCTTGAAGTACACTGTCATTTTCTTGGGCTCAAGCTTGAAAGCCGATGCATCTGTCGGGGTCGGGGAGTCAATCAACTCATGGTAGGAGACATGTGCATCAGCAGGAGTGAGTTGGCGCTTGGCCTTGATGATGTCACCCAAAGGCTGGTACTTTGAATTCAGCATCACATGATCCAAGTTTGATGTCAACCTGAATGTCACATCTGCTTTCTCACTTGGCGCCTCTGATGTCGAATCTGGGCTCCAGAACTTGCCTTTGTAGTACCCACACAGTACCACGCCAGCTTTGATGCTTTCATCACTGGTGCCAGTGTTCTCCAAGAAGACACCTTGGCCGATGGTAACCTTCACAACAAGTTTCGGGTTTGCAGTGACTTTGGCTTCATAGCACAAGGTTGGCAGGTCACTGAGGTCCTTTGACTCAATCTTAGCATCCTTCACTTCAGTCTCTGCCTGAGTTTCCACCTTAGCTCCTTCAGCCTCCGTCAGCCTGGGCCTCTTGGTGGGCCGACCAGTCGATGAATCATCAGTGATCTTCACGTCAAGCTCATGGTTCTGCCTGGCTGCCTCCACAAATTCCCGGAACTCAAGCGAGAAATTGCCATCCCACCAAGCTTTCAAGACTTTGTCTGGGGTCTTCAAAGTTTCCTTGGCCTTTCCTGTTCCCCAAGCCAACAAACTCAAAGTAGGAGGCGTGGGCCCTGGCATTGCCAGCTGGTCAGGAGGCCCTGGCAGAGGTGTCAGAGGCTTGAAATCGCCAGTCAAGAAGTTGCCAAAGACATGTTCGATGTGATGCTGCTTGGCCCATTCAACCTGCCCAAGGCTAAAACAACTTGAAAGCCAAATGTCATAAATCCTGGGACGGTCCCAAAAAAAAAATCACTGTAACACTGCCTCCAGTTGATTGGCGTGAAACGCCAAGTAATGCAGGTGGTTCGACATCGCAGGGGCAAACTTCTCTTTGAACACTGCCAAAGCAAGATCCCCTGTATGCGCAAAGAGATCCACAACCAACACCACTGGCTTAGAGCTCTTGGTGCCCAAAGTTCCCAATGCCCCCCTCAGAAATGAATGGTAGGCATCCTTTCCAAGTTGGCAACATTTTTCTGCTGGATTTGTGGTGTGGGTCAAGGTTGTCGATGCTGGGAGCGCAGACTCACTGCAATCTTCAATGGTGACAAGCTCCTTGGTTGGTAGGCAGTGGGCCTCTTCAAGAAGTCCTTTGCTCAAGATCGGGCATGACTTCCATTCACTCCAGACTTTGCCGAAGGCTTCATCTTCAGATGGGAAAGTCAGCCTCCCATGACGGCACATTGACCTGCCATTCCAATAAAAGATACACAGATGGCAATTCAATCCAGTAACTACTTAATATTTTGGCCTTTGAAAACATAAAAAACTGTAAAAAAAATCCTATAACTGAAGGCCTCTGGTCGCGGTCATCTTGTCGCTCAACAAAGGGCAGGACAAATCGACCATCGATGTTGCATCTGGCATTCACCAACATCTTGTGGAGCATCTCTTCTTGCTTCCAAAGCTGCCCTTTGTTGTATGTATGGCATGGCTCGAAAACACATCCCAATGAGCGACCTGAGCTAGTTGCATCATTGCACAGAGCTCCAAGAACTGTGGCTTGGCACTTCTGCGCAGCAGAGGAAACCAAGCTAGGCGAGCTCCAGTTACAAACTTGCAAAAGATAGATCTCCTCAGATCGAACTTGGAAGGTTTTCATGAGCTTGTTCACAGTAGCTTTGATGCGGTGGGTAACTTCATTGGGACTTCCAAGGACTTCCAAAGATGCAAACCAATTCACTGAAGTGATGTCAAACAAACTCTGGGCTTGTTTTTGGGCTTCATGCTGTCGTTGAACTTTGTGCTGCAATTCCGCATGGTAAACTGCTGAGTCTCTGTCTTGGCATCGAACCTTCCAATTCTCAAATGACTTGAGGTCATGCCTTGCTTGGCCATTCAATGGGCACCATCTCGAAAAAGACCAAGCAAGCAGTATTTTCTACAAGGTCTTTATTTATATATAAATATATAATATTATAGTTGTACCAACTGGCTCCCGAACAATTCCTTTTTAGGAGTTTCCCAAAGAACATGAAACAAGACAGACAAGGTACTCAAACATTTTCTTCATGAGGTCAAATTCTTCTCTCTCCAGTTCACCAGCTGCCACCACTCGCTTCTCAACAAAGAACTTGGAGTCAGCTGTGGCCGAATGTGCCTTGAGAATTTCTTGAACCAAAGTCAGATCAGCAGGCTTCCACTTGGCGGCCTTTTCGCTCAAAGCAACTTGCAGCTCCAGCTCCAGGTTCGCATCGCAGTCCAGCAAGGCGTCTGTGAGTTTGGAAGTCACCACACCGCCCTCCTTCAGTTCAGCCTCCACTGCCACAACCAGCTGAGTAAGTTGGCTGAGTTCTGCACACCTCTCTTTGCTAAGTTTTCCCCTGGTTTCAGGCAGCTTCTGATGGTGGCATGCATCCGTGTAGCGCAAGAACAGCAAGAACCCAGCATCAGTGACCGTCAATCTAGAGCGCCATGTCTTGTCCAAGACAGTCCTGGGGAAGTATCCTGGAAACAAGTTTTTGGCTGCAAAGCACTCCTCACTAAATGCTGAAGCAGACCCAAAGAAACTGGCATGGTCCAGCAGCAATTTCGTTGTCCCATCTGGCCCTGACAACAATGCCAGCAAGGCCACCCGCTTCTGTCCAGTGAGTTGGCTTTCTCTTGTCGCCTCCTGATTCCACGCCTTGATAGCACTCTCAGCCTTCAGCCCGCGATCAACCAGCATGCTCATCTTCGAAAGCCAGCAAGCAACATCATGAGACTTCCTGATGGCACCCCTGCTGCTCAGCTTCGCATTTGTGAAGGCCACTTGCATCAAATCATGGGACATAGAACCACGGCGGCAGCGGATCACCATCAGGCTGTCATACAGCTCACGATGCAAGACTGACAGTCTCACGCCTGACTGGCAAAAAACAAAGTTAAAGACGTTGAATCTGTTGTTCAATTCCAGGGGCCTCCGTCAAAATTTAAGGGTTGGACAAATGTATATGAAAGTTAAAGCCGAAGAACCCAGATTCACAGAAATGACAGCAGTGAACAAAGCCATTGAAGCTCTCGCAGCACCCTTCAAGAAGTAAACCCAAGCAAATTTCCCTTTGTCAGCATGCCCAGTGGGGCCATCCCAAAGTAGAATCGGATCACCTCAGCAAACAAATTTTGACCCCCACCTGGAAGACAGGATTTTGACCCCCACCTGCAAGATTCTGCAAGAAAGTGAAAATATACACAACAAACAACTTGAAATTGAGGCACCTTTGGTGATAAAGCCATTGGTGGTGATCTCATCCCAAAGTTGCAGGCAAGTGTGGAGGTATTGGAGGTATGGGGCTGGCTTTGTCGAGGAATGTGGCAGCCAGCTCAGATCTGTCAAATGCAAATTGAACTCATCTGAGTCATTGCCAGGAAGCTGAGTAGCAAAGCTAATGGCATCACTCTTCGGAAAGAACTCAGCGATCTGATTCAGAAACTCTTGACCATGGGCCAACTCGTCCCCAAGCACCGAAGTCAAGACATTGCGGGCACCATTGCAATGCTCAAGAACTGCCTTCCCAAAGGCATAAAACGCAGGCTTGAAATCTTCAGTGCCTGCTGATTTCACTGCATCTTCCAGCGCTCTCAAGTCAGATTTAGCCTGCTCCATCTTCACATCTTCTTCCTTCTTGGCCATTGAAAAAAGATCCTCATCAGCCTTTGAACGTGTCTCATTGGCTGATTCTGATTCCATTGACTTGTCAAGAAGTTCTTCTATGCTCTCGGACATGCCGCCTGGAGTCACAGGTGCTGCCATGATGTCTGCCATCCAGGCCAAATTGGACTGATCGCCTTTAAACCCCAACTGCTGCAATCAGAACCAATTCAAATTCAAAGTCAAGAAAAAATCAAAAACAAAGCTAACCTACCCTGCAGGAATCCTGTACCCCCCCTTCGCTCGGTTTCAGCTGAAACCAGGCTACCCCCCATGGTTGTGATCACTTCCAGGCTAAGCCCCCCTACAGGAATCCCGTACCCCCACTTCGCTCGGATCTATCTAGACTACCCTAACTTCGCTCGGTTTCAGCTGAACCCAGGCTAAGCCCCCCTGCACGAATCCTGCACCCCCACTTCGCTCGGAAACAGCAAGTTTAATTTTTTATCAGCTGGTCATTGCAAATCTTTGCTGTTTGAATTGAGCCAACCAGGCTAATTTGAAGCCAGCCTAATTTCTCTTTCTAAACTCATCCCACACGGCTTCAGCAAGCTTTTCGCATAAGCCAGGGGTGTACACCTGACAGTGCTTCGAAACTGGGATGCCGTTGTAGGAACCCTGGACATGAAAGTGAGGTACTTGGCACTGACACTGAAGCTTCCGGAAGATATCCACCACGCTCTGTGAATTTGTCATGAGCGTGGTGCGCTTGCGGATTGGGTGCTGCTCAGAAGTAGAGCCTGGGGCACATAGGCCAGTCCTGCACCTAAGATGACAAAGTTACGCATATCTTGCAGGGCTGGCACACAGCTTCAAGAAACACAATCCCACAGCCAGCACATGTCAGCACAGAAGTGGGCGGCTCACACAAAAACAACTTTTTCCCGGTCAGTCATCATGGTCCCCTAAATCGGCTAATTGCAAGCACGGCTTGTAATTGAAAGATGCGATCACAACCACATCTCCGTTCTGACACCTGCAAACTATTTGCAATGCTGCAGATCACAGCCATCCCGAGCACATGTACAATTGCTGGTCATCAAGACGCCTTTGTCGTCCTGATCGCATTTGCAATCTTTGCTGGTCATCAAGAGGTTATTGTAGGATGACCTGTCTGGCAGACCGGCTTGCTATTTTGAAATAATATAAAACGAAAAATAAACATGTGTATTTCAAAAAATAAGTCAATAATTTTTCCCCAGTGGCATATCAAGGAAACTCTTTAACTGTGTAGCCCAACATGAAGCGCAAATCTTCTCATCTGATGTCTGCATCAAGTAGTGAAGCCATTCATCCCGGCTGAACCGGATACGTGTAGCAGGTGCCCGCTTCACTGGCATGCTGGATGACATCTCTCTTGATGGGCTTGGATTCTAAAATGGCTGCGTATGCAAAGACCCGCCTCTAATCCCAAATAATATGTTTCTATATATCAATATGGTGAACAGGGGCCAACTATTATTGCATGAAAGCGCACAAACACACAAACAACAAGGGGAAAATCATCACTCGTTTGGCAACTCTTGCAGTGCCATATGATTGAATTGGCAACTTTTTCAGGGCCAGATGATTGGCAACTCTTTCAGTGCCGATTGGCAACTCTTGCAGCGCCTTATGATTGGCAACTCTTTCAGTGCCGATTGGCAACTCTTGCAGCGCCTTATGATTGGCAACTCTTTCAGTGCCACATGATCGGTAACTCTTGCATTGCAATTATAAAGGCCAAGCAGCTGGTCAAACGTCACCATCTTCGTGTCTGGGTGGGAAGCCAGTTGCTTTACCTTATCCAACTCCCAAGTTTTCCACAAAAAATGGAATGTGACAGTGAAAGTAAATGCTACTAAGTCTGACCATTGGATGAATGATATTTGATCTTTATTTGTTAAATAATTAATGATTTAAACATTACATTACACAAAAGAATCCACCACAAGCAAGAACAAGATGCAATGTCCATCTTCCAGCTTGAAGCCCGGTGGGGATGTTCATGGCACCACAACCTCCCAGCCTTGCCCTGTATACGGCACATCTCTAAGGCAAACTTCAACATGTGGTCCGCATCACGTTGTCGAAGGGCACGAACTTCCCAACTCATCTTGGCAGCATTCCAAAGGCGGGTTAGTTCACTGTACATTGTGCAAGGAGGAGATGTCATCAAGAACATCGGCCGTCTTTCGGCCAGGAGTGCTAGGGCTATCATCCTTCCATCTGTCGTGAGTAAGTCGCAACCATTGATGACATCCAGGCTTGCAGCTGAAGCCATTCCCATTTTGTGGATGCTTGCAGCTACCCTGAAGGGGCTGTAGATCTCCATGAAATGAAAAAACGATCATCTGGATGGCCATGTCTTGGTGAAGTGGTTGGAACAATCTCCACATTGTCTTCTAGGTCATCATCACTGGAAACCATGACCACATCATCATCACACAAACGCGATGAATGAACAGCCGGCATAGCTGAAGCTGCAGCTGTTTTGCACAGCTATCGAAACCACAGCTTACTTGGGCCACAGATTCTGTGCCAAAAACACTGTTCACTGACAAGCTTGGCAACTTGATACAGGACATTCACACAAGTTGGAAATCAAATGAGGCTTGGCAGGGGCACTTCTGGACCCAGACGACGAGGCAGTCAGTCCTGAAAGTGTTGGGCCACTGACTTGAAAAATGCAGAGCAGCTTACTATCTTCAAATGATTGTGATTTCATTCATGGCTTAGAGAAACTTGCTGGACTGAAAAAGCCGGTACTCTTCCAGCACCAGAGCCACAGAGACAGCGAGGCCCTTTTTGTTCCATGGGAGCTCGGAGCTGTCAGCATGCCAGCAACTTCAGATCAAAATTGGCACTGCAAGAAAGCCGTCATCCACCAAGATAATCATCGCTCATGGTTTTTTCCAAGTATCTCGGTCAGTCAGTGATCTGTGAGCACCCAAGAAAATGAATAACTTAGTATTAGTATTACTACAATCTAAGAATAATAACTTCGGTTTATCCAGAGTGGATCAAAAACAATGGCAGGCTTCTCCAAAAAAATAAATCAAATCTAGCCAAGATGCTGCCAATCAGTCGGAGGCCTTGAGCCATCCTGCAAGTGCGACATCCAACTTTGGAATCCCTGCATTTCGGGCATCCTAATGTCATGCCTTCCTCCAGCACAACTTGCAACGCTCCACGGATCTTGAGGACTCTGCCACCCTCCTGTGGCTCATCAGCCCCTGCTGCTGCAGGTGGGGCTGCATCTGCAGGTGGGGCTGCATCTGCTGGTGGAGCTGCATCTGATGCTGCCGGTGCAGCTAGCCTCAACTCAGCCGCCGCTGGCTTTTTCATCTTTGGCACAGATTTTGATGTTGCTGCAGCAGGCCTCTTGAGGCCCCTGCCACGCCCACGCCCACGCCCATGCCCAGGGTCTTCATCATGAATACTCTCGGCTGGGCTCGGCAAAGACATTGGAACATCATCGTCCTCAACCAGCCTCGGGCCAGCTGGAAGTCCAGGTCCTGCAGCAGGAGCAGCTTCATCCTCGTTTCCACTGGGAAGGTCGATTGCAACCGCTGCATGTGAAGGCTGGGCGCCACTCACAGGCACAGCTGCCTTAGACTTCGCTGCAGATCTCTTCTTTGCCGCTCTCTTCACCTCCACTTTCGCAGGGTCCGTCTTCCAAAAGTCCATGTCTGATGCCTCGGAATCAGCCATCGGAATTCGCAACATCACATCATTTATCGGCATTCTAACATACTACTGTGTTAGAACCCGGGTAGTAGGTTCTTGATAGTATTCACTGGATGTTAATTAAGAACTGACAAGTTGTGTTGGACCCCCTGGCCTTGAACACACCGGGCTCTGGCTTGGATTCTCCATCTGCCAGCTTCGCTTTCAATTCTTCCAGTGGGTGAGAGTCACGAACACATTGTGGATGGCACCCCGATTGGCGAATGAGTTGCTCAATGTATTCAGCAGCCGCCTCCATGTGCCATGGTGGTTGGGTGACCTTTTCTATGGTCTTCCGGAGTTCTTTTTCAGTCTCCTTGGACATTTTGTTCAGTTGAACCGTGTACTCTGGCCAACCTTGCAGATTCTGAAGAGCAGAAGCCGGTAGAAACACAAAAGGTTTCTGTGAGATGTCATCCGAGGACAAATGCGATTTCAGCACCAGCACGACATCCTTTGGGCTGGGCGGCTCATCCTGAAAGTTTTCCACCATGCCAACATCTCCAAATTGAGCATACTTCTCCCGAGTCACCATGAGGAAATAGTGGCACGCATGCTGCCCAGCTTGTTTCATTCGACGTGTAGTGTTGTGGCTGTGGAGGGTAATTTCCAATGGCTCCAGAAACTTGTTCCAGTCTTCCATACACTCCACTCTCTGAACAGCCAACTCTCTCTGTTGTCTAGGTTTGACTTTCTCCAAGACTTTGACAAAATCGGAAGGTGTTTGCAACGTCGATTCTTGGAACAGCAGGTGCCGTACTTCAGAAAATCTCTGGTCAGGGAGTCCATGGGAATGCCCTGTCTGGAAATAACTCCAAACAATGACGTCAAAGAAACCTTGACAGATCATGAAGGCTCCGGCCTTGAATGCCACCTGGTTCTTGGTCTCTGATGTACAGTTATCCGCATGGACCCTCAAGCCTTTTGGAAATTGAAGTCCCGCTGCATGCAGACGGCTGTAGCACAACAGCATGGCATCACTGATCAAAGAGATGTCCAAGTTGGCAGTTGTAGGAATGTCGTGGTTCATCAAATTGTAGATTTCCAACAGTCCATCTACCACCTAACTCGCAGCTATATATATCCAAAAGCATTCAAAAGTACAATGCCCAGCTAACTGGGTGGGGGCATGAAATCCAAAAACGTTACTTAATCACACGCTGGCGGACAACCAGGCTCAGTTTCATCTCTGGGCGATGCATCCTTTGAAACAGTTTGCTTTGACTGATGTTCAACGGTACTTTGAACTTGGCACAGTCCATGCCATCAATTGTCATTGTGAGCCATGTCGATGCTCCTTCATGAAGAAAGGTAACTCCACTCTTCACACTGTCAAAACCGATCTGTCTCCAGAATGCATCGGCCTTCCTGTCTTGAAGCATCAAGTGGAGATGCTGGACATAAGCATTGGCAACCAGATTGGCATCAGACAGAGTCGAAGCCTGTCGCTTGTACTCTTTCATGTCTTCGCAGACACTGCACTTGCTATGCTGGTTTTCGCCTCTGAAGCGTACAGTCTTTTCCCAAGATCTATGGTAGATTCGGACCCAAGTTCTGTAGGACGGCGGTGGCTGCAAGTGAGAGAGGAAGTTTTTGGCAACGTCCAGCCTGGATAAAAAGTCGACAAGCGAATTCAGAATCTATATCCATGGGATCCAACACAAAACATGAATCCAAACACAATCTTTGAAACCAATTTGCAAAGAAAAAAAAGTTTGGCGAACAGCCAAGCAACAGCTCACTCAATGTAACATTCGGGTGCACATGTCTGGGCTCCAGGGAGGAAGCATTGAAGACTTCAGACACTGGATCCATTTTCAAAAGCTCCTTGACTTTGGTTGCCACATCGAACTTCACCTTGCCCACACCTTCTGCAAGGGGCTCTGCTAAGAAACTGTGGACCCAGCACCACATGGTCTCAGCATTCTGCACTTGGAGCGACTCCTGTCGAGGCATCTTCACCTGGCCACCTCCAACGCGCAAGTCCCTGGGAGCAGAGACACGCCCATCCACAATCTCCTTGGTCAGCTTCGTCACCTTGCCCTTGTTGCATTGCAAAATGTCAGAAGCTGCTATGCGGCAAATTGGCAAGTCTTGAAACTGATATCGTCGCTGGGACTGGCTCTTCGAAGACTCACCGGCCATCCAAGTTCTGAGGACTTGAAACTGAAATTCATTTCGTTTCTCCAATCCAAGTTCTTCTTTGATAGCTTGTCGTATCTCATCAGCTTTCCGGGAGTACTCAGGCATGGAAGTAATGCGATCCAAGCAATCAGCATCACAACACTGAGATTCCCCTGGAAGTTGGCTACTAACAGCACCTTGTTCAACTTCTTCTTCACTGGCACTTCCAGGATTTGATGGAAGGCTGAGGCCACCATCAGAATCGGTCATAGCTACTGGCTGAAGCTTCTGCGATGTTTCAGACAATGCCATGTCGTGTATTTCAAAATTCGTCAGAATCTTTTGGTTCTACCTTCATACGTCAATCAATGTGCTGGAGGCCTGGGCCTTGTAGACAATAAGCTACACAAAAATTCTGTCTATTGACATTCCTGTAAAACACTGCAGGAAACCATAAAGCTTGGCAGCACTGCAGGTTGCACATCGTTCGAAGATGCTTCACGCACACACACACACATCAATTAAATTCAAGCTGGGTCGCTGGCCGCAACAAAGTCAAGACTTCGTACACAAATCACCTTCGGGAAGGAAGCATTCTCAAATCATCCCAGGCAACCATATTACTTCCATAACTGAGTAGTAAGGGAATTCATCGATAATTTGAATGCATGTATAGAGTATATAATCAATTGTCCCACCTTCCATTGTGAAAGGCCTCTCAATCTGTCGCGGTACCTGTGCAAAACAGAACACCTCTCTTCCCTTCAAAATGAATTTGTTTGGCAGGAATAAGAAGTTGACATTGGCCCATGTTGAGGCCCCACCTGAAACAAACACTTGGACTTGTTCAAGTTTCGCTGTCTCGACACTCTTGCAACTTTAGGGCACTCTCCCAGCGCCTTTATTGAAGCATGGCATGGCACTCTCCCAGCGCCAGATTGAAACTTAGCAAATGTCTTAGAAACTGCCATGCTATATAGCATGGTTTTAATGCCAGGCACTCGTTCAGAGCCAACGATTTTTAACAGGAGGCTTTCAAAGCTAGTTGCCATGACATCTTGTTTACTGGCGCTCTTTCAAGGCCTAATTGGTGCTTGTTTCGAGGCACTCTTTGCCAATGGGTTTGCGGCTTCATGTCACCGACACCATTCATGAAGCTTAATTTAAAACCTTATTACCAATCCAGTGACGGAAACCAGACACTGGCTTGGCTCAGTGCCGGAAACCAGACACTGGATTATGGATATAGTTCAGTGCCGGAAACCAGACACTGGATTTGGGATTGGTTCAGTGCCGGAAACCAGACACTGGATTATGGATTGGTTCAGTGCCGGAAACCAGACGCCGAGACCTTGCTACCAATCCAATGCAAGATTCGGGCTCAGTGAGCCGTAGTGCCGGCTCCACCACCCCACCCTCCATACACGCATCATGAGCACCATATCCTCCCAACGTGGAAACTCACCCTCACGGGTTCATGGCACTCTCTCAGAGCCAGGACTGCTGGCACTCTCTCAGAAAAAACAAAGATATACGGATACATGATGGATGTATTTATGAGATATGTGTGTGTGCGTAAAGTCTCCCAAAGGCTCCATTGTGGAAATCGCTTTGAAAGTTGGTGGAACTTTTAAGGCAAATTGTTATTAATTGGCTTTACATACTATTTTGTTTTATTTGCTGATCACTGTATCTTGGTTTAGTAGAGTTATACTTTACATGGCATTGGTATTGGTTTTCCTTTTTTAAAGCATGAGCCAATCTATTCATGAACTCATTTCGAAACAGTGTCAAAACTTGTTCAAAAGTCTTCAGTGCCATACTTGGTTTATTATATGGTGACTCTTTCAATGCCATACTTGGTTTATTAGGACTCTTTCAGTGCCATACTTGGTTTATTATATGGCGACCCTTTCAGTGCCATACTTGGTTTATTATATGGCGAGTCTTTCAGTGCCATCATACTTGGTTTATTATACGGCGACTCTTTCAGTGCCATCATATTTGGTTTATTATATGGCGACTCTTTCAGTGCCATCATATTTGGTTTATTATATGGCGACTCTTTCAGTGCCATACTTGGTTTATTATATGGCGACTCTTTCAGTGCCATGCTGGGTTTATTATATATAACTCTTACAGTGCCATACTTGGATAAAAACAGCAACTCTTACAGTGGCATACTTGGTTTGAAACAGCTACAATAATGCCATACTTGGTTTTAAAAACGGGAACTCTTACAGTGCCATACTTGGATAAAATCGGCAACTCTTACAGTGCCATGATAAAAACGGCAACTCTTACAGCGCCATTGAATTGATAGATGGCGACTCTTTCAGTGCCATTCAGTGGCAGCATCCCGGCCTGTCGTAGCATGGTACTCTTACAGCACCAGGCCCTCTCTGCTGGCACTCTTACAGCGCCAAGGGTTTCCAGAGCTTCTCCAGCCACTTCCTGACATGAAACCTGCAAGGTTGAGTTTAAATAGTTTGTGCAACTTAGGTCTGATATATATATATATATATATAAACTGCCACAACTTAAAGCAATGTTACCCCAACTGTGCTAGTTGGATATGGATTTACAGGCCCTTGTATGTATACAATGGCAATCAATGTCTTCCAGTTTCAAGTTTTCTGTTTGAATTCGTTGAGATTGACTTGGTAAGTCATGCATGCGTGCCAAAACTTAAACCCAAATATGACAAACAATACAGCAATATCTTGGTACCAAATTCAGCAATTCAATGTTGGGGTTAAATGAAACATATTACCAGGATACTAACACTTAAGGTGAAATTCTAATCTCATAATAACGTCTTAGGGTCGGAATGCCGGAAATTGAAAATGAATGCAAACAAACAAAATCCTCAGAATTATGTAATGTACTATGTTTGGAATTATTGGATCGCAACACAAATATAAAATCAAAAGAATTACAGCGAAATCTCAGATGGAATATCAGAATATAAAGGGTCAGAATGCCAGAATAGAATGTCCAAAAAAACACATGAGGGTTTTGAAATATATGTCAGAATGAAAAGACAGAAAAACTGTGGGCAAAAGACCGTATTAGCCAGGCAGACCCTTAACAAGAGAGGGCTATGTGCAGGTAAAGGGCAGGCTGCAATGCTGGAGCGCTGACAGCCAGGAGCTTGGTGGAAGCAAAGGCTGACGGCCAGAGGCCTTGGTGGAAGCTGCCGCGGAGCGTTTTAGGGGTTTTAAGGGTTTGAAGGCTGGCAAACGGCAGGCTCGAATGCCCTAACAAGAGAGGGCTATGTGCAGGTAAAGGGCAGGCTGCAGGCAAACAGCAGGCTCGAATGTCCTAACGAGAGAGGGCTATGTGCAGACAAAGGAGGGTTTTAGGCATTTTAAGGGTTCAGAGGGCTTGGTGGAAGCTGCCGCGGAGCGTTTTAGGGGTTTTAAGGGTTTGAAGGCTGGCAAACGGCAGCCTCGAATGCCCTAACAAGAGAGGGCTATGTGCAGGCAAAGGGCAGGCTGCAACCCTGGAGCAGCAAAGGCTGACGGCCAGAGGCCTTGGTGGGATGTGCAGGCAAAGGGCAGGCTGCAACCCTGGAGCAGCAAAGGCTGACGGCCAGAGGGCTTGGTGGAAGCTGCCGCGGAGCGTTTTAGGGGTTTTAAGGGTTTGAAGGCTGGCAAACGGCAGGCTCGAATGCCCTAACAAGAAAGGGCTATGTGCAGGTATAAAGGGCAGGCTGCAATGCTGGAGCGCAGCCAGGAGCTTGGTGGAAGCAAAGGCTGACGGCCAGAGGCCTTGGTGGAAGCTGCCGCGGAGGGTTTTAGGGGTTTTAAGGGTTTGAAGGCTGGCAAACGGCAGGCTCGAATGCCCTAACAAGAGAAGGCTATGTGCAGGCAAAGGGCAGGCTGCAACCCTGGAGCAGCAAAGGCTGACGGCCAGAGGCCTTGGTGGAAGCTGCCGCGGAGGGTTTTAGGGGTTTTAAGGGTTTGAAGGCTGGCAAACGGCAGCCTCGAATGCCCTAACAAGAGAGGGCTATGTGCAGGCAAAGGGCAGGCTGCAATGCTGGAACGCTGACGGCCAGGAGCTTGGTGGAAGCTGCCGCGAGGGATGGACGGCCAGAGGGCTTGGTGGAAGCTGCCGCGAGGGATGCGCAGGCAAAGGGCAGGCTGCAACCCTGGAGCAGCAAAGGCTGACGGCCAGAGGGCTTGGTGGACGCTGCCGCGGAGGGTTTTAGGGGTTTTAAGGGTTTGAAGGCTGGCAAATGGCAGGCTCGAATGCCCTAACAAGAGAGGGCTATGTGCAGGCAAAGGGCAGGCTGCAATGCTGGAACGCTGACGGCCAGGAGCTTGGTGGAAGCTGCCGCGAGGGATGTGCAGGCAAGGGCTTGGTGGCAGCTGCCGCGAGGGAATTGGAGCGTTTGAAGGGTTTCAGGGGTTTTAAGGGTTTTAAGGGTTTGAAGGGTATGAAGCCTGGCAAACAGCAGGCTTGAATGCCCCAACAAGAGAGGACAGTGCGGGTGACGATGAGAGGGCTTGGTGGCAGCTGCCGCGAGGGAATTGGAGGGTTTGAGGGGTTTTAGGGGTTTTAAGGGTTTGAAGCCTGGCAAACGGCAGGCTTGAATGCCCTGACAAGAGATGGCTGTGTGCAGGCAAAGGGCAGGCTGCAATGCTGGAACGCTGACGGCCAGGAGCTTGGTGGAAGCTGCCGCGAGGGATGTGCAGGCAAAGGGCAGGCTGCAACGCTGGAGCACCAAAGGGTGACGATGAGAGGGCTTGGTGGCAGCTGCCGCGAGGGAATTGGAGGGTTTGAGGGGTTTTAGGGGTTTTAAGGGTTTTAAGAGTTTGAAGCCTGGCAAACGGCAGGCTTGAATGCCTTAACAAGAGAGGGCTGTGTGCAGGCAAAGGGCAGGCTGCAATGCTGGAACGACGGCCAGGAGCTTGGTGGAAGCTGCCGCGAGGGATGTGCAGGCAAAGGGCAGGCTGGAACCCTGGAGCAGCAAAGGCTGACGGCCAGAGGGCTTGGTGGAAGGTGCCGCGGAGACGGCCAGAGGGCTTGGTGGAAGCTGCCGCGGAGCGTTTTAGGGGTTTTAAGGGTTTGAAGGCTGGCAAACGGCAGGCTCGAATGCCCTAACAAGAGAGGGCTATGTGCAGGCAAAGGGCAGGCTGCAATGCTGGAACGCTGACGGCCAGGAGCTTGGTGGAAGCTGCCGCGAGGGATGTGCAGGCAAAGGGCAGGCTGCAACCCTGGAGCAGCAAAGGCTGACGGCCAGAGGGCTTGGTGGAAGGTGCCGCGGAGACGGCCAGAGGGCTTGGTGGAAGCTGCCGCGGAGCGTTTTAGGGGTTTTAAGGGTTTGAAGGCTGGCAAACGGCAGGCTCGAATGCCCTAACAAGAGAGGGCTATGTGCAGGTAAAGGGCAGGCTGCAATGCTGGAGCGCTGACGGCCAGGAGCTTGGTGGAAGCAAAGGCTGACGGCCAGAGGCCTTGGTGGAAGCTGCCGCGGAGGGTTTTAGGGGTTTTAAGGGTTTGAAGGCTGGCAAACGGCAGGCTCGAATGCCCTAACAAGAGAGGGCTATGTGCAGGCAAAGGGCAGGCTGCAACCCTGGAGCAGCAAAGGCTGACGGCCAGAGGCCTTGGTGGAAGCTGCCGCGGAGGGTTTGAAGGGTTTTAAGAGAGAGGGCTATGTGCAGGCAAAGGGCAGGCTGCAATGCTGGAGCGCTGACGGCCAGGAGCTTGGTGGAAGCTGCCGCGAGGGATGTGCAGGCAAAGGGCAGGCTGCAACCCTGGAGCAGCAAAGGCTGACGGCCAGGAGCTTGGTGGAAGCAAAGGCTGACGGCCAGAGGCCTTGGTGGAAGCTGCCGCGGAGAAAAGTTCCACACCTGCGGTGGTCCCAGGCGCCGCCCCGGCCGTGGCGAAGGCCGGGGTCGGCGGATATTTTCAGGGGGGTTGAAACCACCAATGAGTGATAATAATACCAACATGGCATATCTTTTTTGCAGCTATGATCCTCCACCTGTGACCGACTGGGACACTCCTTATGACTATTGTTTCCCCCTTGCAACCAACCACCATTTCCTACTTGCCCCCCCAAAATGGCCGAATTCGGACATTTAAGTTCCCGAATTCACTATTTCCTACTCTTTCCATACATATTTCCATGTCTTCACCATGTCCCCATACTTTCACCATATTTTCCATGTCGCCACAGGTGCAAATCCAGCTACAGAAGGTGCCCTTCTACCAGGGCGCCATCGACTGCGTGGAGATGGGCATCGAAAGTTCCCTGCAGGTCAGCAACGTGCGGCTGCGACGGGCCGTGAAGAGCCAGGAACAGGCCATGGGCCATGGTGGGCCACGGGGGGCCACCGGAGGCCACAAAGATTTGTTTAACACCGCGCAAATGGGATGTGTTTTTTATTTTTTTTTATGCCTTGTTTCCCAACTGAGATTTGGATGAAATAGTCGAAATAGTCGATACATGTATTTTTTTCCAGAGATCTATTCGTCTATACGGCAAATCGCGAAGATTTCGTCCGCCTGGTGCTCCAGAGACCCACCCAACAAGATGGCCTTCAGTGATGGCACAGCATGGCACAACTATTTTTTTGGCCAAACCCCAGATGTTTGGTCATCTTGAGTATTCGGCTTCCATGTTTTTTGGGTATCCGATGTCTTGACTCATGATTGTCTATCCATTCCACTGAACTACTCCTTGATCCACCATCAAGCCAGGTCAGATCACATCCAGCATATCCCTTGCTCTTCGATCCACAGACCGCGGGTGGTCTATTGGCGGCGGTACCCAAAGACTACGCCGAGCAATGTGTACCTCGCTAACAAAAAACGGTTGCCCGATGGTGCCTGGTTGCTGCTGATGGGGGATCAAAGTGACATATCGCGAAAAGTGCAAAATTTAGGAACTAAAATTTGCAGTAACCAGAGACTATGAATTCTATGCCAGGTCAACATCCATCCTACCCATAAGCCGAGTTGCAGGATCTGTGAACACTGCACTCTGCACAAACCACGAGCCTTCCCAGGTTGCCGAACTCCGTGCCAGCGGTGCAAGCTTCGCCGCCATTATCGGATCGGTGCCCCGAATCCGCATTTGCAGAGGAATTTCAAACAGATGGAAATCAAATATCAAATCAAATCCATGGAAATCCCTGTTTTTTTTGAGGTTCCCAGTGACTGGTACTTCTCAAAAGCAGGCTAGACGTCAGCCATTTCTTTACAGTGGGCTGGCTTGACGTGATTATCATGATGGTGACCCGAACGGGGCTGGCGGCAAAGGTGCATATCATAGTCTTATTATGGTTCTGATTCATTTGACCGCATCCCTCAGGATTGGTTGTTCACACTTGTTTAGTTCTGATTGTAGCAGTTATTCGTAGTCAATACATTTTATGTATGTATGTATATATATACATAAACATATATATATGTATATATACATAAACATATTTATATACATAAACATATATATATATATATACATATAAACATATATATATATACATAAACACATATATATATACATAAACATATATATACATATAAACATATATATATATACATAAACACATATATATATACATAAACATATATATATGTATATATACATAAACATATATATATATATATATACATAAACATATATATATATACATATAAACATATATATATATACATAAACACATATATATATACATAAACATATATATATATATACATAAACATATATATATATACATACATAAACATATATAATATATATATATATACATAAACATATATATATACATAAACATATATATATATATATACATAAACATATATATATACATAAATATGTATATATATATATATATACATAAACACATATATATATATACATAAACATATATATATATATATATATACATAAACATATATATATATATACATAGACATATATATACACATAAACATATATATACACATAAACACACATATATATATATACATAAACATATATATATATACATAAACATATATATATATATATATTATATTTAATTACATATATATATATATATTATGTGTATATAATGTATGTATATATAAATATTCTATGTGTATATCTATAATATATATATATATTTATATACATGTATTATACACAGAATATCCTTCCATGTAGCGAACCTTGGTCACCGATAAATGGTCACTCACCATCTCGCCCTCGCCATCTCTTGTGGCCATCGGCCATGGCCATGCGGCAGGTGCTGGAGAAAGCATCCGCGCCGGAAGTGATCAATGTGGTGAGTGCCTGAAATTTCTCAGGGTTTCAGATTAGGGATTGTATATGTGTTTATAATATTGTATATTGTATCCAAATGTATCTAAAACAAGAAACTAACTGTTAATATATTTTATGTTAGTGATCTATTGTGGAATGTGGATGCCCAGTAACAATGGTTGGATTACTCAGACATGCAACCTGCAACCAGCAGAAGTTTGGTGTGTCTTAAACTGATGGGTAGTTATGTACCATGTAAGTTTGTTTTCTTCAGTAGCAATCCGAAATGTCTTTACTATCAATGGCGGTTTCTACGACAAATCGACAAAATACTATCTTGAAACAAGTTTGGGATTCATTTACCATAGCTATGAGTTTTGCATATAAAAGCAATGTTCAGACTATGTGGAACATTGTGGAACCCTGAGAAAATTCTGAGTGAGGAACCAATTCTCTCACAATTTATGCCACTGCCACTTTGGAAAGTGAAAAATGCTGAAACTGGCTCTGTATTTCCGCATTTCATATTTCGTGGTTTCATGGATGAATCAATTAAGATGAATGCCAAATGGAACGCACTTGGAATTTCAGCACTTTCAGCGCAGCCGTTTACCCGGTTTACCATGCGCATCGATTTCAGCGATCGCGAAAACAAAAATCGGATGTCCTGGGATGGACCCCAAGTACAATGGATGTGCATCCCAGTTATTAGGTTGGTAGTATTAAACATGATGTATACATTATGTATATTATACAATCATATATATATATACTTATCAATATCTATCTATATATATAGGTATATATAAAGGTGATATAGCATATGAACCACATTTAATCACTGACTACTGGAATGCAACCCCAAGTAGGATGGATAAAAATTGCGTCTTCTATGGGTCATCCACTGCGAATCGTATATGATGATCCTTAAAGTAGATTCGCCTCTGGTTTTTTGTGTGCCATGGGCGCTATGGAAAATATTGGAAAATCATCAGTGTAAATAGCTATGGTTAGGGAAAATATTGGAAAATATAGAGAAAATGTGGAAAATATAGGGAACATATTGGTAAATATTGGAACATATTGGTAATATCATGAACATCTCTGCATCGTCCATGTTCCATATTAAATTACCAGAGCATAAGCAATTATAAACGCCTTTGACAGTCCTTGGGACTGTCACAACTGGATCAAGAATAGGAGGCAGTTCGTAGCTTTCACATAGATTCAGATAGTGTTGGTTGTATCCCTGTTCTTGAATCAGGCTCAGGTTTACACACATCACTTTAAGTACTTTGTGTTGGTAAAATACACAACATTACCAAACATACCGTATCCATTCATTATATATCATTCATATCCAAACATGTTGATTTATGATGATCTGGAATCAGTGAATCATCATTCTTTGTTGGTTACCCAAAAGCTTGGTGCATGTCACAACCAAGCACCACCCACCCCTGCGCTGCGAATCGATTTTTTGTGTCAGGCTTTGGACTTTGCCCTGAAGACCTTCGCATGTGGACTCTTCCCAGACAGGCAGTCCAAAAACGGGACGATTCAATGGAAGAGATCTGGTGACGTATCAATGGATACACAATGATACACATATTTAATCATATTTATACATCCACAATCACCCGCGCAATTCAACCTTGTTTTTTCCTGCCTTACTGGCTTAATTAAAATCACATTATTTACATTAAACCCATGCAATCAGATTAATTCAGACCACTACACCATTTATCTAAACATTCATCACTGTTTAACCTTTAATGGGTAGCAAAAAAACCTGCTATAGCTTCCTGTCGCTGTCGATGGGCCGGCCAAGACCCGTTCGACCACCTCAATGGTCCCATATTTGAACATGTAACAGTATTGTGGTTAGATATTTGAACAATGGTTATTTGATATATCAAATATTTGAAGATGCAAGAGTTATAACTATAGTTATATTGATATTAGATATGACGGCATATAGATTGTGGTAGTGTTGGAATGTTGGGAATGTTACTGGTTGAACATCGGATAGAAGCTCAGTGTTTGAAACTCAATTTATGGCCATCGGATAAATAGGGAACATGATGATTTTTACTCGGTGGATTATGGGGGGGATCCCTTGCAGGTCTGGTCGCGACTCGATCGAACAGAAGGACGGGTCCCCATCACAGTGTGTGGTGGAAAATGGCTCCCGAAACTGGGAACTTACCCAGAAAATCTCTATGGATCCGGATTTTTTTGCCGTACTTCATTGACACCATCTCCAATTGTCCAATTGTTGGGTAACGCTTTTGTCGTTGGAGCCATATCCCTGATTTGCTGTTCATTCGTACAATTTTTCTTGGTCCAGGGATCATTTCGTTGGCATGTTTTCCGCAGATGGATCTTCAAGACTTCGTTGGGTATCCATTTGTCGACCCAAACTTATGGCATCAACAAATAGGTGTTTCCAAGAATTGTGAACAGAGTTTTTTTTTCCAGACCATCAACAAATTTGCCGCACATTTGGGTGAAGTCTTGGTGCAATTTCTCGCCAGGATGGCGACTCGGGTCCCTTGGACGATACATAGCTGTAGCATATGTTACATTTGACGAGTTTCTTTAAGGTTTCGCGAAGCATATTTCTCCAACATTGGTTTAAAAGATACTTCAAGATATGATTCACAAGATATATTATATCATTATATATCGTTCAATAATTATTCAAGATATCCTAGAAATGGGACTTTAAACATCAAAATCCATCCAGAAATCAACCGCTGTCCACCACTGAGGCTGGCAATGCGTTGCAAACCCCACAGAGATTCCTGGCGCGCCAACAACTCAAACTCCCTGACGCCTTATGTATTATGTTTTTTGTTTGTGTGTGATTTTACGATGGTTTTATCATGGGGTTATTATGGCTTTATGTTGGGATTATGATTGCTTTTTGATGGTTTATGATGGTTTTAGCGTTGAAACTGCATGGAAAGCAGATCCTTTTTTTTGCATGATGGTTTGTGTGAAATGAATGGATTATCAAATGTATGTCAGTAGTAGGAACTTGTCATCAAACATGGGCACCTTCCAACAAGCATCACCTTTTGTCATGGTCGAATGTTTCAGGATGATCACTGGGAGTTCCCGACTAAATCCCCTAAAAACTCAGCATGATGAATCATTATGAGCCATTTTTTCACCATTATGAACCATATGTTAACCATTAATGAACTATATGTTAACCATTATGAACCTGCAAATGGGGACTAGACGGGAGTACAGTGTCTATACATCCCGTTGTATATTTCAAGGGATTGACTGCCAAACGCAATGTTTGGCTCAAGTGCCCATATCAAGGAAAATCAACTGTGCTTCCGCTGCAGCCATTGAAACGCTGGCAAACACAAACGCTAGGTGCTCTGGAAACGAATTGGTAACATCCGGAACAGGGATTATTCTGTTCACAGGTTATCAGCCGTAAGGGCTCTCAACCTCCATCGGAGGCGGAGTACCTGCGTGCTGTTAACCAGCGTCGGGTGCAAAGGACCGTGAAATCCGGTCAGCACCAGCATCGCAAAGATGCAAGGCGACAGCGGAGAAACGCAGTTTACCTTTGACGGTAACGCCGCAGCTCCTGCAGAAGGTGTCTCACAATCTTCTCCAGGAACAGCTGATAGCGGGGACAAGTCCATAAGGACGACGAAATCTGGATGGCATAAGATGACTTCTAGACATCGAAGAGCATCAACCACCAGTACTCCAAGATCGGCACGTGATGTGGCTCGGAGTGGAACTGCACGACAAAGCCACCGATCACCGAGAAGGACACCTACCGGACATAGGACCCCGAGGGCAGTCGAGGACAAACCTGGTAGGGAGTCAAGTGACATTAGTGCCAAAAGAAGATCAACAGAAGCTCGTGGTAGCAGTGAACCAATAGCTATCATTGAAGAACTCAGAGAACAATGTCAAACATTGAGAGAGAAAGTGGCACAATCCGAAATGTATGCTGCTTCAAGGGATCAAGTCATTAGGGACATTGAGGCCAAGTTCACCGAATATCTTCGCGGACATAACCAACAGGTATTCAATGAGATCAACATCCTTAATAGACGATTGATGTACTCAACGAATGAAGTGTCTGAATACCATGCCGAGTTGATGTTGGCCTCCAAGGAAGATGAAGGTGCGACTATCCGCATTGAAGAACTTGAACGTCGAGGTGCACTTGCCGAACATGGTGCCAGACGAATCCAGGAACGTGGTCTTGAGATCCAGGAAGAGTACAAGGATGAGTTAGGTAAACCCAAAGGGCTTCCTCTATAGGAACCAGATCTGAGGCGAAGAGCCTTACATAAACCAAAGACGTAAAGAACCAACATAAAACAACGTAAACGCAACATAAAAGCAAACACAAGTGAATCATAAACACATCGGAAACTCATCATTAACAGAACGCAAGTGAATCCACAATAAAACATAAAACGACTCATCAACAAAACACAAATGAATCCACAAACCATTCTGGCAGTCATGTGTCCCAACTGTCGCGCACGTGTTTCCATCTTCTCTGGAGGTGAGCGGAGTTATGTGACACAATGTTTGCTCTGTGTTTCACTTGTGTTTGACATAAGCTTTGTTTGCGCAGCACTTGCGTCAGGCAAAAGTCTTAAGATCTTATTCTGGGAAAATAAGATCTTAGGATTTTGACATACATAAAAAACAAGCGAAACACAAACAAAACACAAACAAACCATAAACAAAACACAAATGTAGCATAAACTTGTTTATGTTTTTTTGTGTTCTGTTTATGTTTTGGTTTATGTTTTGTTTGTGTTTTTTGTGTCAATTATTTGCGTAAGGCCTTATTTTTATGTTTTTTGTGCTTTTTTGTGCAAACAAGCATAAAAAAGCACAAAAAACATAAAAAATACTTTACTTCGTGTGATCCCCACCATGACATTTATACATTTTCTTACTGGCAAATCTTCTGACATTCTATTTGACATTCTATCTGGCATATGATCTGGCATATCTTCTGGCAAATCTTCTGGCATTCTATCTGGCAAATCTTCTGGC